GATGGGCTTTGAGGTCCCTTCCAACCCAAAAAGCTGATGAACATTTCAGTGTGAATTTCTGTGGAGCTGATGCCTGGCTCCAAAGTCTTGGTTTGGATTTATCTGACAGACTGAAAGGCTCTCGAGTGTCAATTTTTCAGATGGGCTTTTTACAAATACAATCATATCCACAACAAATTAAGCAGACCAAGCTCTTTATCTGTCTCATTAAAGATGTTTTTCTCACTGTCATGGCTCTTCTCTGAAGTCTCTTCATTTTTTCAGTCTTCCAGACTAGCAAACGCCAGACCTGGAGACGTCCAGACCTACCGGAGTGACTAGGGGAAGGCTTTCCATGCCCATTTAAAGCTTCTGTCTGTGTTGTTTTTTTCCTTTCCTCTATATTTTATTAGCTGCAAATGTCAGTCACTGAAGATGCTCTATTTCCTCTCCCAGTCACTGGGAAAACACCCATGTTACTACAGGGGGACCAATAATCACCTCCTATGAGCTCCCACTGGAATCATTCTAATAAGAGAATTTTCCTTATAAACTTTAGGTGTTATTTGCCTAATTCGTCCAGTATGTGCCATTACGCTTTTGCACAATTCTAGTTTCTAAAATTAAACAGCATGCATTATTAAATCTAATATCTTGCAGAAGCTTATTATATCAACAGTACTGCTTTTATCAAATGAAAAGAGAGATGAAATACAGCCTAATAATTATACAAATGATCATACTCCTCTTCAGACCATTGGGACTGAAAATATTCCATCAGACTTTCTGAATTTACTAGAAATAAAGTGTCATATCGAAGCGAGTATGATTAAATAACATTATTTACTCCAGATTAGCACTAAAAGATCACAGACAACCGAGTAAAAGGAAAAAAAAAAAAAGAAAAAAAAAAAGAAGCGACTTTTGGCCTGGGTGAATTTGTGGATTTTTCGTACACAAACACAACCAATACCTACCTGGTAAAGCAATGCACTCCTGATTCCTAGGTTCCCACTGACAGTTTTGATCCATGGCACAGCTTTTACAACTTGTCCTTTTGTTACAGTAGTAGGCAGGGTTATCCTTAGGACAATTGTCATACAGAGTAATAGGAACCTAAAATAAATGGTATAGATGAGGCTTTTTCCCAGCCATGAAATGTCTCTTTATAGCAGCCATAATGACTACCACACTAAACTTCACAGTTCAGACCTCCAAAGCGACTTATATGTCTAAATACTGCGTATTCACGATATTCCCCCAAGCCACCACCTGACATCTTCCTTACCAGAGCTTTTACAAAAGGGTTACGTTTCTTTCTCTAGGGAAGACTCTAAGGACAGCAAACCCAAACGGCTCTGTGCCTTACTGAAGAATCCCACCACCTCCTCCCCTGCCCTCAGCCATCCTCCTCCCAACTTATGTGGAGATTCCCATGAAAACCCCTTGGACCAACTTGGGGAGAAAAAAAAAAAAAAAAAAGAAAATAATAAAAAAAAAAAGAAGCATGTTATGAGTTTAGAGCTAGACATGCACTGGAAATAACGAAACAACAGGGGTCATAATATTGACAGATGAAGGCATCTGGACATTTGATATTTCAAAAGTTAAATTTAAACTACAGAAGTATGAAAGAGAGAGACTTTACCTGTTCCTCTGTGCAGTTGTTATGCATTGAGATACACTGGTCAGTGCACCATTGACAGCTGTTTGTATTTGCTGTACAGCTATAGCAGTCTGTAATCTGATCACATTTTTCATTGTCTACAACTATTAAAGAAAAAAACCTGCATGACCAAAAACAGGCATTTCCTGACAGAGCTCTAAGAACTTGATTATATATAGCAAAAGATATAACCAAACAGTAGTGCCTGTAGATTTTTCCATTATCGACTACTTAGTAAATCAGATACTTCCATGTGATTGAACTGATAGAAAACTGCATTCATTTGCAGCATCAATCACTTTTAGTGCCAAAGGATCCGTAAAACACACCACCAGAAAATGCCCCAAGACATGGAAGAGCATGAACTAAGACCGGGCATGCACGTTCAGTCAATGCCCACGCAAATGATGCCAGAGGACGTTTCACAAGGACGGTGAGCATCTCCCACCGCAGGCCCGTTCTGCTGCACGCCTAACCTTCAATTACGTGGAGCATTTTCATGCAAAGCTTGAACTTTCTACTTCATCTTCCCAATTGCTTATCGCCTGTGTTTTGTGAAAATTTATTGTACATTGAGAGCCCATCAAAGCAATGTCCCTTTACATCAATTTCTTTTAAATAATTAAAGGCTGCCATCTACTACAGAATCAAGGTTCGTATAATTCAATTCAGAGCAACGAATGCATCAGGACAAAGCACTGAAAAGTTGTTTAAAAATTATCATAAGGGAGAACACAGGAATCAGACCTTAAAACAAACATTCTTTTTGTATGCCCCTAGCCATATAATACCACAGAAGGAAAAATAACTTTTCTTAAAATACTATTCCTGCTATCTCTTTTGAAGAGCACAGGATAACACCACAGGTCCCAGATCCCCCTCCCATACCCCGTGGTGCTCATCAGCGAATTGCTCATTCTCACAAGGTCAGTTCTTGGAGCAAACATCTACAGAGCAATGGTCCAGGCCTGATTCCTGATGATATCTGTTTAGGATAGGAAAGTAAGTACAAGCAGTACGGTAGGGGGAAAAAAAAGAAAATCTAATGAGCAAGCAGGTTTATGGGGAGTGAGAGATGGAAACATCTCCATGTCGCTGCAGCCACTTGTCAGAGGAAGGTCTTCCAGAGCATGTGTGGAAGCACAACTACAGTCCCCCATCTTAAACTTGATTTGATAATGGCACACCATTAATACAAGACAGAATTTGGAAAAGAAAAAGACCCTACACACCTTTCGGAGAGGGAAACTGAAAGAATGTGACCCATACCTGGCTTGGGAAGGCAGTCTTCAAAGACCTTCTGCTGCTGTTCTACCGTGGCCATTTCCCAGGGGACGCAGCGAGGAGGGGTGGCAGCCCACACGCATCTGACGCCAGGACCTGCTCGCAAGCAGGCCGTTTCGTTGTCAAAAGCTTCACATCTCTCAGGTGTGTACTTCAGTATGTCACTCAGGAGGAGGCTGTTGAAGCCTCCAAATACGTACATGGTGCTAGACAAAACGTAAGGAAAGAGATAAATGTTTGCGCCTGTGTTTATAGACCATGCACTGCTGCAAGTCAATGTGATTCAAGGTGTGAGGCAAGGTGTTTTACTACATTCCAGCATGTGTAAATCCAAATAAATAGCTCTTGGTTAAGGAAGGTACTAAAGAAAAGGTCAGTCAAGTTCCACTGTTTCAGAGAAGCCAGAGAGTCTCAATGCACGGGTGCTGAGGTCGTGGACCGACCTTCCCCTTTAGCCAAAACTCTGGGTGACACCTGATCAATGTGACTGTACATGAAATGCTGCAGAAACGTGGGATCCTCCTGTAAAGAACAGTGGCAAGAGAGGGAGGAAGGCTAAAAATCAGGAACATGGTATCACACCACTAAACCGTCATTCAGAAACCCTGACAAAACAATTCAGTGTTGTCACATCTTGCCACACCACTGTGACAAAACCACAGTTGTTTTCACGGCTGGTAGCAACTGAGCAAAGAGTCATTATGTCAACAACAAACAAACAAACAAAAAAACCAACAAAAAACCCAACCCCAAAACAAAATAATATTTTAAGGGAGGGGAAAAAAAAAAAGTGTTTTTTTAAACCTTCTGTAGTATCACAACTGCTTCAGGCAAAACATCAAATTGCATTAGTCACCCAAAACCCCTGTGCATCCATGTCTGTAAATGTACATTTAATAAGATGGTGAAGAAGAGTCAACACAACTGAAAAAAGTTTTGGTTAAATAATAAGTATTTTTAATATGATTTGCATCCTAGTTTCGGAAAGGACTAAAGCAGAGGTTCAATTGTCCTTCATGGGAGCAAAGGCATAGCTGGAATTCAGCATACACTGAAACAAATAGATAGTGAGTGAGATTTTAGAGACAAAAATAGTATCTAGAAAGCACACCTTCCTTTTCAAGGCAGTGACAGTTATCTGCCTGGCTTAAACTGAGCTTTAAATAATGTTACTGATTTACAGAAAGTATCCTCAAAGGATAAAGGAACCAGAACGAAAGACTCCTAAGAAATATCACTTCTCAAACTCGGTTCCGCAGACTGAAATATAATAACAGATGTTCACCTGGGAACATGGATATTATTACACCAATATCATGCTTAACAGCAGAAAACTCACCTATGATTTCACCTAAATACTGTACACCACGTGAATGGTAAAGAGCAGCCACACAGCTCTACGTAAACTGAAACATGGACAAATTCAGAAACCATGAGGGAAAGTACGATTTGGAGATAAAAGTTGTTAGTGCAGCTAAATAAGAAATAGACATATGGAAGAAATTAAATTACAAAATAAAAAAGAAATAGAAATATATATTTAAATAAGAAAAAGGAATAGAAATAAGAACTGAGTGAGCTGAGACAGTTTAGTCCAGTGAAGAAGGGCGGACAGGAAGAGGTGGACATTGAAGACATTACAAGAATGAAGATCTGAGAACTTGGAGAAGTTCCCAACAGATCCTCAACCCTCTGGTCTCAGTGTTACTGATCTACACGTAGCAACACACACGTGCACTGATACACACAGGTGTACAAGTTCACTGAGGTACGAAAAACACAAACACCCCCCAGATCGTTTGCAGCTTTACCTGTTGTAGAGCACGGCAGAATGTCCAAACCTGTTGACATCGTGATGGAGACCCGGACGAGGAAGAACAGACCATCGATCGCAAGCTAGGATTAAGGAAAGCTCATTTTAGAAAAGTTTCTCAGTATAACTAATGACTCAACTTACAGAGCACATTTCTTCCTGAAAGATCCCAAAGTACTTTAATTCCACCCACCGCCAAAAGTCAAATCCTGAGTGAGACAGGACAGTTTACAAGAGCGCAGCATTACCTTCTTTTTGTAAGATGTAAGATTTAGTCTTCACCCCAGCTGCCATGGTATGACAAAAAGGGAAAGGAAGGATGCAATGGCTTTATGCTATCATCTAAACAGTTCATGAAAAAGGAAAGTTTCAGGGCATTGTGTTGAAGGCGTTATTAGATATTCAGCAATCACGTGTAATTAAATGGCGGTGGCTTGAGCTGCTTTACCAGTGGAATTTTTCACTGTGTAACAAGTTCAGTTTTTATCTGTTTATATGTGAATTATTTGCAGTTTTGCCCCAAACCAGTATCACTGAGAACAGAGACTTATCTTTTTTTTTTTTTCCTTCGCAATTATGTTCCTAGAGGGTAGATATCCACGTTTTTAAAAATATTTTTCACTCATCATAGCTTAAGGATTTGTGGTTGTTTTCCTCTTTTAATATAATGTGAGATTATTCCATCTTTTTCTATTAGCATAACATTTATAAGTTCCGCTTCATTTTTTACTCGGTTTCTTAGGTAATTTCTTCCTTTAGGCAGCATGAAAAAAAATCCCTCAACCTAAGAAACATATAACCCACCGAGCAATTAAAGGAACAAAAGCAGGAATAGTCAGTCCAAATCCTACCACTTAAACTTTGTGAACAGGATCGCCTTGGGGGCTAACGTCCCAGGGGCAGTAGTATGCAATTTCAGCAATTAAGACAGAAAAGTCAATCTGCTGGAAAGATACACAGAGCCCTCAAATACTCAAAGATTCTTTAATGTAAGATACAACCGTTGTGCCATGGACTCAGCCTCTGAAAAAAACAAAGTCCATAAACCCAAACTAGTATGTAGAAAAACCTGCTAGGGCAAAGAAAAACAACCTCATTAATTTTTTTTACCAAATTTAACCGGAGAATTGTTGGGTAAAACAACAGATCCTAACCTCTGGTCCTGCAGAAACTTTTGTTCAAGAGTGCTAATAAATAAAAGACACAGGACTCAGTTGGTTAGAGCTAATACTTTGATAAATCATGATTTTGAAGTTTATTTTTAATCATCATTTGCTCAATTTTCAAAGAATTTAACCTAGCACAGCATCACTGCTGAGACAAGCAATGCATGGTTCCAATTTTTAACAGGAGACTTCAGCAAAATTGGGCAGCAATTTGCAATTCTTTATCCAGCAAGTTGTGAGTTATGTGAAGCCAAGAAACATATTTTTCTAGATTAATAGAAGGCCTGGAATGTTTTGCTCTCTACGCTTCTTGCCCATCTTTAACTGAAGACCAAGTATTGGAAAAAATGAATGATTCTGAACTGCAAAGAATCCACTCCTTCCTGACTTATAAGTTAAGCCAAGCCTAAAACTTACAATCCACAGGATTTATTTAATATACTATTCAAATAGAACACATATGCTATGAAAACATCCAGCCTCTTTCATGTTTGTCATCAGAACTGAATTTTTGATGGGGTAAATAGAAGAGTTTTAATTTCTGTCCTGTGGGGAGAAGAGATCGTTACGAGTCTAGCCTTTACACGAATATTTCATGCTGAGTTTTAAAAAAATCATAAAGTTAAAACTCCTTTAGAAATTAAAAGGAATGGTTACTTAAACCACAGTAATCACATTTTGAGACAATCTGCCTGTGAAGTTTCTATTCTTGTTTGAGACACATCCAATAGGCAAGGGAGGTGACCCTTCGGAAAGCACAACCCTTGCCTTCTCACTCCTGGAGATGAACGTGTAGTGATGGAAGGGCTGCAACTCCCACTCGGCTCCTTCGCTGCTACGAATTGTTGACAGGAGGTGGCAGAGGGTTAAGAAGGGCATTCGTCCACCCAGAGACAAAACTGTTGCAGAGCAGGAAACTTCTACAGAGGCCAGAGAGACCGATTTTGAGGATAGGAAGCGCTAACTAGTCAATGCAGTGCGCAGAACGTAGGAAAAACACTGTGAGACTGCTCTACCCGAGTGCTCGCTCAACCTGAACATCAACACAATCCAAAAGCTCGTCCTGAGAAGCAACAAGAAATGCACGTGCACGCAGACGGCCAGACTGTTATCCTGAAACCTTCCAAAACTGGGGGCATTACCTGGACAGTTTGGACTGAATAAGCCTCAACCTGGTCAAGTGGAGGATAAAAGGATAAGGAGAATTAATGCACTCTCAGATCTACCTAATTCGCTAAACCTCCAGAGAATCTCAGCGCACATCTCGGTGACATCTGTTTGCATCCTACACCAGAAAAAAAAAAAAAAAAAAAAAAGAAATAATGTGTCCTCACAATACTCAATGCATGTGGTCTGACTACTTAGAAACTTGAGGAGAGAAAACCAGAAAAATTTGATGAGGTAAATAAAAGGAGTTACTGCAGAAATAAGTTTTAATGGCAAAGGTTGAAGACAAGACCTTGTTTTGAAGCCTTTATTTTAGACTGTATTTTAATTTTAGTTTTCCCCAGTCTTCCAACCATCACTATGACCACTAAGATACTACCTTCATCAACACGATGATAAAAATGAGCAAATTAGCCAGATACTCCCTACTTTTATAGTATGCTATACGGGCTTATTCCCATGCAGACCAACACAAATACGATCAACATGACTACTGCAGAGGTCATGCATGAAGAACCACCAAGGAGGTGTTTCTGCTGTGACACTAGTGATCAGTCAACATCCCAACATATTCCTGGTCCAACAGGATAAGGTAAATTGTGTATAAGGTGTCCTTACATGAAAAGAAGAAAAAAAAGTGGTCTTTTTTTAACTGAAAAAACCCCTAAGGAACGAGGTTACCCAAGAAGACCAGAACATCTCTCATCCCTGTCATGTGAAGTGCAATCAATGCAAGCTCTAATTCTCAGTGTAAAATTGGTAAGGATTGAGTAAGCCAACTACAACGCTTACTTCACGTAACAAGAACCTGCCTGTTAACTAAACAGAATCAAAATGAACATCACAATTGATATGTTTTGTCAAATTAATTTGTATTTTACACCTAATAGTTCAATGGGTCAAGGAAGACAGAAAAATGTAGGAAGAAAAATCTGTCACTATTGCTATCCAAGTTTAAAAAAATTACTCTGTCCCTGACTGTCAAAATACCTCATTTTAAATGTTCTTCAAGAAAAAAAACCTCAAAATAAAGCTAGCTAGGCGCATACAACAAATTCCACAGGGATATGACTTGAAATCAGAGGAAGCAGAAGGGAATGAGCCCTGTAACAGACAGCAAAACGGCCCAAAGATGCCAAATACTGCCGCTCAAAGTAATTTGTTTGCTTGCATATTCCTTTCACAAACCAGAAGTGACATCTCAGTGGACATTCACTCAGAGAATTCAGGTTTATGTGATTATTTCAGGGAACCAAATCATGAGAGCCCACATTTAAGGAATTCTGAAGGCAGAATGTGATATGAGTACAGAACGGTGTTTTTCTTCAGCATGAATTATCTGGATGTGCATGCACCTTCTTTTATATCGTTTCTTCTCCTTTCCTTCTTAAATTCGTCATCTCTGGACTTCAAATTCACAAATAAATGCTGCCCTCTTCTGGCTGTTCAAACCCATCAAAACCCAATCCTTCCAAATAAAATCTAATCTAATCCTTTGGCTTTATTGTTAAACAGTGCTTATGGGGATATTTATGTTTCTAAAGCATACATATAAAGACACTGGTATTACAAACAGCGCAGCCAAACAAGTCAGCCAGCCTGCAGTTAAAACAAGAGCGTAAAACGTACGAGTTGAGCTTCAGCAGTGGCCAGGGCTTGTAACTATCCCAACAGCCTGCACTTTTGATAAATCATAAATTAAAAACACACTCAAAATCTCAGGACAGCTTTATGGTGGAGATGGTAGAACAATATGCTTTCTGTTTAAGAACTAATTTGTAATACCCAAGGTTGTGTATAATAAACTGGTGACCAAATAACTGCTGCTGTATTTGCCTGGAAATCAGGGCACCAGCTCATTTGCTTGGTAATGTGTAGCAAGCTAAACGAGTCTCTCCTGATTACACATTCTTCTGCAGTATGCTTAGTAGCATTTGCTATAATATACCCAGCATGTAAATTAGTCTTCTTGAAGACAGCTCTTTTTGGCTATCCAAGAATACTTTTTTATTATTACTATTTCTGCAAGAACTTACCAATATCATACGCCATAAAATCTGAAGAAAAGCACTTCGCGCCGTGGCTCATGGAGGTGTCGTTGTGCGTGTTTCCTCCAAACACCAGCATGGTTCCGCTCATTATCACAGCCGTGTGCAAATAGCGAAAAAATCTACTGTCTTTAAGAATAGTCCTTCAGAAGTAAAAATACATGTATTACTGACACTGATTAGTACCTGGCAAAGACAAAACAATCCATAAACCCAAGTTGAAGAAGGTTTCGGGGCGGTGGGGAGGAGGAGAGGGGATAGTATTTAACTACTTTTCCTAATGAGATATTTAACAACTTCCTTTCCAGACTGTTTAATTCCTCCTGTAATTTCATTCTCTCATCTTCCCATCTGCTTGTCAATTTATAGGAGAAATATATCTATGAAAGCCTTTTTCCAAAGCTACGGATCTTAAAATCATCAATTGCTTCCCTGGGGATTTATCAAGCTTTCACAGTAACGGGGCTTTTGAGCATAGTCAGCTAAATCTGATGATACAGACACTGCCTGGGAGGACTTCTATAGTAACTCTGATTTTACAGTAACCTAAAGAATTCCTTCAAACTGGGTATCATCTCTTGCTCCAAACTAACAAACCTATTCTAAGGAAATCTATGCAGCTGCTGCTAACAGTGCCTCGCAGTTTAACACCTGCAAAACTCAACACCTCATCCATGACTAAATCACGGGAGGCATTAATCAAACTCGCCACCGCCCTCACCTTTGCTCAGCACGACTAACGGCACTGCACACCAAGGGTCACCCTCTGTAGAATTTCCCTACTATTTTGAGAGGGTGGGATTGCAGGAAAATCCCAGTGAGGCCATGTCTGTGCTGCAGACACACCAGTGTCACACCAGCTCTGCAGAACACCAGCATCCCCAAGGCAGCTTGCACTGAAGCCCAGAATTTCACAAGGAAATACTCAGCAAAATGGATTATCGACAACCTGGACCAGGGACCCGTCCCTAACGGACGAGCAGCGGTATCGCAGCACGCAGGGGCTTTCCGAGCGTTGCGCTCACCCTGCCAGGGCTACAGCGTTAGACGTGAAGCTGCCAGACGAAACACCGGAGGGAACATGGGGAGAACCATGCTTGCAAAAATAAAGATCAAGGGACTGCTTTTTTGCCCCTCCTTGAAATCACAAGAGGGAGACAGGGCCTGAAGTACTTCAGAATTTAAAAAAAAAGGAGTCAACTACACCAAAAAAAGTATAGATAAAGATGAGCAGACACTCCTACGCGCCTCGCTGCAAGGCGACTGCTCGCCTGCTCTGACAGTCCTCGCCAGACCGGCAAAATAAATGCAACGAAAAGAAGTTGGTGCTGTAGCAGTTCGGAAGAATATTGTCACATTTGTGACATTTTCTGCCTCTTCAGCCAGATTTGCCCACTCCACGGCTGAAGTGGAAGTTCAAATGAACCAAGAGAGGAAGCGTGGTGATTACTGCATGTACAACAGAGCAGGAAGGAAGGTTTTTGGAAATTAGTCACCAGTTACTTTACTCATCAGTACAGACTCACAAATGGTTGTTGCAGAAATACAAGCTATTTTAAATTCTTAAAAAAAAAGCAATACGGTGACTCAAATTTACATGTGACATTTCAAAAGATTGGTCTCCTCCTTGTCAGGAGCCTTTAAAAAAAAAATCTTGAGGAAAACCACAAAATTGAGAAAAATGTATTTCACCTCTGTAGCTCAAAGTTGTGAAGTTTTGCTATAGCTTTTAAATAAAACTCACCTTTGGGCAGAAACAAATCACAGAAGATTTCAGCTTAAGAAATGAACGTTTCAAACAGTTACAGAGCCAGAAGAAAATGGGGTTATAATAGAAATTCTTTTGCAGTCTTAACAACAGAATGAATTATCACTCACTTGACTGCAGTAACTGCACTTATATGCACAGTCTGTACTGCTGGCAAGAAAATCCCATCAAATATTTTTCTTTTCAGCTTTAATACAACAATAGATTAAAATGGATTTCTTGGCTCATTCACAGCCTTGATTATATGTGATTATATGATTCTGTATTCGTAAAGGGACATAAAAACAACAGATACAAGAGCACACTATCTATCCTGAATGCAGGTAGCTGCGTACTACTGTACGCTTATCAAATACCCCATCCTCTTGTCCGCTACAAACTAAAACGACGCGGTGGCGTACAGGAGGGAGAACTACTTACCACATACGGGAATCAACTTCATATTTGTACAAGTCGTCTGCTAGTCTGTATTTGTTGGCACTGAATGCTTTGTAACCTCCGTGGATGTAAATTGATCTTGTATTTGGATCATAAACACTACTGTGGCCGTACCCTCCTTGAACCAAAGCTCCGCTCGTCTGTAAAATGTTCCATGTATTTGTGGCTGAAAAATGAGAAATATGAGTGACAGAACACGGTTAATTTATCTCCATTAATGACTTATCTACAAATCTGGCGGTGAAACAAATTGTGTTTCCCTGGACTCAGACCTAGACACTGTCTCTATCACTTCATATCCAAAAATACTCTCCTTCAAGGAGTTTATTGTCAAGAAGTATTGTCAAGTATTATTAATTAGACCAGAAACATCTCTTCTACAGTCATTTATTACATTTTGCAGACAAGCTAAGTAAATGAGAGATAAAAAGTACAGAAATAATATATTGCATTTCAGTGACAGTAAAATGTCAGCAGCATGGCTTGATTTGGAATGGTACCCAAGAGCACTTTTATTTTATATATATATAAAGCCAGATAGCACTGAAGCCTAGTTAAGTATGACTGAGAAGAACACTGCAGTTAAAAACTAATATGTGATTAATGGTCCTATATCTCACTCACTAAAATAACATTGGTTTGAAGCACCCTAGACATAATATAATGGCAACTGAAACAAAAATGCCAAATTACATGCCAAATCTCTGTAGCAAGTGCAGAATGAAACCCTACATCAGCTTCCTAACTCCAGGGCAGATGAGGCGCACAAAAGGCAAAGGAATTGAATAGTCTGCAAGATCACACGTGGGAAAAACAGAACAACAGAAAAACAAATCACTGCCCCACACATCCAGCTTCCCTCTAGCTTCCTCCTAGAGGAAGAAAGCTCGCTCACACGGACACCAGTGAACCAGAGCAGGCTCCAGTAGATCCTCTGGATCAAGATGACTGAAGGACAAGGATAACAGGTTAAAAGTGCAGATAGGGCCAGTATTCCTGACAATAATCAGCACGTTCACGTCGTGAACTTCCTGTGCTTAACTAGGTTCTCTACCTGGTCAGTGGGGCAAAGGACATGCCTCCAGAGAGCCATTTCAGAGCAGCAATTCAGTTCAACTGGAGAGCTTCCTACGCTTCTCCACCGACGATACTGGAAATCTCTGGATCTTCAAGTCAGAGTTTGGATTATTTCCAGAGATATAGGGCAAATGGAAGTCCAGAAAATCATTCCCTGCTCCCCTAAGCATTGGCTAATCACCACAAATCAGCCACCGGAGGCAGGGCTATCAGGTTAAGTGGATACTTGGTCTGAATTGTTACAGCCATTCTTGTATTCGCAGGATACAAAAATAATTTCACAAGTGTTCGCTTTGTCAGAGGGAGAGAGGAAAATTAATTTAAATTGTCCTACAGTTATCCTGCTGTGTCCCTCAATTACAGCTTTTTTGTCTTTGGGACCTAACAAGCTCTATAAAGCCGGAGGCACTGGCTGCCAGCTCACTGTTTGTGTTACACAAACACTGGAAGTTACATTGAACTTCTCATAAACACAAACAGAAGGACATACCTGTCTTTGTTTTGCTATGTGAATACAGATAATTTAAATAATTTTCAAACCAACTGTTAAAACTGAAGCGAAAGTTAGGTACCACTCACCGAGGTTGTATTCCTGGACATTGCTGATATACCCGTAAAGAGGGCAGTGTCCAAAAATGACGAGCATGACCACGCTGTCATCTCGCAGGGTGACGATGTGTGCCGAGTGGCCAACAACAGCGTACTGCTCCTTGGCTTTCGGCGTTGCTTGAGCCCAGGTCTGGGTGGGAATGTGGAACACCCACAGCTGGCTGGTCACGTTCCCCGTTGCATCTATTTTTCCACCATACATGTAGATATCATCCTGAAAGAGGTTAGATTTAAAGTGAGGCCAATAAGTTTGGCATTTAGGAAACAGCTAATATGTAAGTAATTAAATTGTTATATTTTATCTTCTCTCAGCCTAAGTTTTTCTCCTCTCTCAAGGAGAAACAGATCTCCTCCACCAGTCACATTTGATAAGAAAGCAGCCATGACTACCAGGGTTCGTACCCAAGTCTGTAATATCAGAATACTTTCAACACACACAATTCACCCTACATCAGGGTATGGAGGAGAAGCGGTGCATGGGACAGGATTGACCTTCAGATGACAGACATCAAAATTTGGGTGCTTGGATAATAGCTGAGCATCTAAGCATCCACTATAAAATACAGCGGAGCCTGGAGAACAATTCAGCTGTTCAAAAGTAGGGAAGGTGTGCCTACTTTTGGGTGAGCTGACTTGCTCTCCAGATTTCACTACCTGTACTGATTAGGTTTGTTTTTGCTATAAATGGAGCTCAGAGGCTCCCAAAGGCACCCAAAGTTAGGCACCTGAAGTCAGAAGAGTCAATAAGCAAGCTGAATCCCTCCCACAGCTTGCAAATGAAAACAGCAGAAGACAACTGGTAAGCAAGGCAGTTACGATGGAAACTCCTCTGTGTCTGTACACTAAAAGCTTTGTCTTCCAAGTTAATGCACTGACAAAAACATGAGGAACCTTTGGAAAGAAGGGAGCCAGGATAGTTAGACAGGGTTTTATTAATCATCCTGTAAGAGTCAAGTTCCAAAACTCTACCCAGTTCCCTTTGTGGGTTTCTCCAGGCATCTCAGGGTCAGTCATGAATCCAAAGTGTATAGTGGAGCAGCCCTGTTTCCCTACTGACAAGGTGGTAACCTTGGAAAGGGAAATTCTCTACTATAGCTGATGCTTTTTGGGAAATTCCTGAGAGCCACTGCCTGGCACTGATGGTGAACCCACTTATCGTATCCTACTTTTGAACAGTTACTTGCAGAATGGGTATCGAGCCCTCGCAGGTAGGGATTTCCATCCTTCTCGGGTTCCTCAAGTGTTCTGTTTGTGAACGGTGCTGTGTGGAGTTTTTCAAGTGTTTATAATTATGCTTTATATAGGCTTGCGCTGTGATGAGCTAATTAACATTCCAAAAGCAAAGGTCAGTAAGGGATTAGCTCATTGCCTTTTCAAAGACTTTGCCATTCTGCCCTCACGTGGCCTGCACTCACAGCAAGACACACAGGTGAGAAACGAGGTAAGAACAGTCAAATCCACTTGTCATTTCAGATGTTGGAAGAATAGATTCACGGATCTACTGCAGAAGCAGAGCAGGTTCCAAAAATTCCTAATTCACCAGCTCTGCTTTAGTGCCCTGGATAACAGAGCTCATAAAAATATTTATGTGGTCTAACACAAAAGAAGGCAGCTGGGAAATCAGATGAAGTCTAGCAAACTCTAGCCATCAGGCATGTCTTGCAAGTGCAGACAGCAAGAAGGAAATAATGGACTCATTGACCTCAGTCAGCTTTAAAATCTCTGAGAAAAGAGCAAAGGAGGAACACACAAGCATAGGCTCTACTGACTTCCCAGGATACCAAGCCAAGGGCTCCCTGGAGCACAATCACACAGACTGGGGTATCCACAGAGAAGCCTCTGTAGCAGAAATGCTTCTCCCAAACCAAGACTGATCGGTAGGAAGACGTGGGTGTAGGGGGAGAAGAGGGGAAAACAGCCAGGAGATGAGTCTGCAGCACTGAACTTACCTTATGCAATGCCAACGAATGACCATATCTCATCTCGACTGAGTTCACAGTGTTGTCAAGTGGAAGCCACTCTTCAGAAATAAGATCATACCTGTATAAGAAAAATTGAATTAATTATCTGAGGAGCAGATAATAAAGTCGAGAAAATTCTTGCTTGTCGTTTCCAGAATTTGTGAGAAATTCTGACATTTAACAAGAGTCCTACCAAGATTTCAGCATGCACGAAGCATTCACAGACTACTTAGGGATTAAAAAAATCCAGTCAAGCCTGCTATGTTACTTATTGATCTGCTTCACCCTGAGCTTTCTTTCCCATGCAAAACCAAGAGCTGCTTCACCCTCAGTTTTCTTTCCCGTGCAAAACCCAGAGCTAATGCGTTGTCTATTAAGCTATGACAACTTACACCACATGATCCACCCAGAAGAGCAGAAAAAGTTTACACTGAGTTCAGATAAGTTCCGACTACTTGATAACAAAAACTTGCTGGTGTTTAAAAGGCACTTTTTAATTATGTCTTTGTCATTCAAGTGTATTTTTTCTGTGAACTTGAAACAAGATAAATCCTTTGCCCTGAAAATGGCCTGTGGCTTTTTAGATAAAAGAATGAACTATACTCGCCAGGCTTACAGCCTTGTAAGATAAAATCATGCCTGAGAAAGCGTTCAATGAAGCCACAGGGTATCTGTTGAAAAATCAGGCATGACTTTGAAAGAGTAAATTGTGGATGTAATCACCAACTATTCTACAACCAACTGTGCATTTTCAGCTCTTTTTTAAACTTCCCCTGTAAGAATTATTACCTCCGGACGTGAGTGCAAAACACACAGCTCTCGCTTAGCTCCGTGAAAGTGAGGTATGCAGGTATCCCTGGGAAAAAAATCCAGCTTTTGCCTAGATCTGCTCCAATACTATCAAGCTCAAGATGAAGCCTGAAAGGCTCTTTATGGGGGATTTCCACGAGGTACACAATTGCTATTTGATATCTTAGTTACTGTTAAATCTCCTCAACTAATTGCATAAATGTCATCATCCTAAATGCCACTCCCTGACTGGTATGGATAAACATCCACAGTAATCGGTATGGAGTAATTAAGGAGTCAAACACTTCTGAAATCACACAGACATAATATAAGGAAGAGCTAATAACACAGAAGCAAAACTACCCTCTTTGAATACAAGGCCAGATATAATTTAGAAACTAGCCTAGAAATATATAGTGAAGAGTTAAATGCTGCCAGAAGCAAAGGAATCGAAAAAAAACCATCACTGCACATCAGGAACCTTACGCTTTTACTTTTCCAAAATTAGGACCCCTCAGCAGCGTTTTCCCACATCTCAAACGTGAATCTAAGTTTTATTACTGCCGTTTTCCCCTGGAGATGGAGCGTAGGCCAATGCACAGCACGTCGGGATGGCATTTTCTAAAAATAATTCTCAAATCTAAGTTCCTCTACTTAGACTTTATTATCTAGGTTTATACTCACGCTAAAACCTTCTGAGAGTCAGAATGATTGAAGACATAGCCTCCAACAATCCACATTTTATTGTCATGGATTACGGTTTTGTGAGATGCTCTAGGAAGTTTTGGAAGAGAGTATTCCTCCCGGGTCCAAAACGACTGGTTTGCAGGAACAGGAATTGAACAGCCAGGACCTGGGAAAATAAGGTTTAAAAATTGATTATTTTTTTTTTTTCCAAAGCTTGTATTTCAGCTAGGGGTCAAGATCCTGCACCACAGATAACAAAGACATGGCCAGGTTACAGGCGGAAGATGCGATCCTCTTTTCCTTGCCCACGCGAGCAATCTGTGACGGACCTGCTGTGTGATCTTCCAACGGTAACCACATACTTCAAATTCAAAATTGTTTTCAGAACTAAAAGCAGTCCCAGACTGGATGAACCAGGGATGCAGCAAAGCACTCTGCTCTGTTCTCCCCACTAAGATTACAGGGGGGCCATGGTGCAGACCCCTTCGTGCTCCACACTAAGAGGGGATCTTCCAGCACTTATCTAGCCACCACGTGCCCACAGAAGCCCCAACACAACCTGTGAAAGCTTCAGGAGACCTGCTCAGCTATAAAAAAACCAAGGTTCTACGGCTATCTTTCCCTGTTTTTTTTGTTCTCCTTCCCAGCAATGCATTCTTATGAACTGTTCACTTCTTATTGTTTTCCTACACTTCTGCTTCTCTTAAGGTAACTTTTTCACTGCCAGGCTTCCCTTCGCAGCTCCCCACGGCGTGGCAGAAGAGGAGCAGCACATGGAAAGGTCTCAGCAAAGAGCCACATGGATGCTCCCCCTTCTTTTCAGTGATGCCCATCCACGTGCACGGGGTTACTACAGACAACTGAGAGCACAGAACGGGCTGAAGAGGCTCAGGCCTTGGAAAGGGAATAAGTTTATCAGGACAGCCTTTAGGCAGTCATAAAAGCAAATCACTGTCTCTTGACTGTAAGAGACAGTGTCTGGTAGTTCTTGATGAGTTTCTGCCAGCAGTAACCTTAGGAAAGCAGATTGGAATCTGGTTTATCACCAGAGTGACCATTTTCAGATGTAAAAAAGCTTCAGAAAAAGAAAAAGGATAGTAGCTTGCATCTCGTTCTGCCATGGTTTGTCCACCCTAAGTCCACCTGTGCTGTCAGTGCACTGCCAGACTCCAGAAAAGCGTTATGGAGGAACCGCACTGCATAAGGAGATGTGGCTTTCCAGGGACGTACAAGCCCTCAAGTATGTTACCTGGGTACAGGGTGGGCTCTCCCTAGCACGCTCGTTTTGCTAACTCCGACTCTCTCCACAGTGCCTAACGCGCTGCCTGGTTTTGCAGCAGAGCTGAGCGGTGGTGGCAGGTGCTGCCAGCGCTGTAGCCGGCTGTGTTTCACATGAGACTGATTCTTGCACGTCAATACATCTTGGCAAAGGAAACACATATGTTTGGTCCAAACCGTTGCTAAGACTGACACGGTTGACCAGCACAGCTGGACATGAGAACAAGGCATTTTGTGTGTTCAAACACGTCAACAACTGCCACTAGGCTCAGCTTTGCTTAAGTGCACACTAAGGAGGATTAAAGTTTTCATCCGATGCTTGCACACAACAGGTTGGTACTGCTTTGTATGGTAGCACAGTTGCTTTAAAAAGAATTTTTCACCAATGATGTATCATCTTTTGATATGAAAAGGTAGATGGAAGCATCATACACTCTGTTGCTAGTCAAAATGCTAATACTTGTCAAGCAGAACATTCTCAAATACTCCCAATACACAGAAAAGGCGACCTCTTAACAAGAGCCTCTCCATATTAACCAGGCAGGAGACTTACCTTGCCAGCCAGCAGAGCACACACATGCCTTGGTATCATTAAAGCTGCAATGCCCTCTCTCAGGCGCCCCACAATCATCTGTGCAGTAGGGAATATCACAAGCTTCTCCCTTCCAGTATTTGGCACATTCACATTCAAGAGCATTGCTGCTGTTATTGAGCTTGCACTCTCCTCGGCCGGAGCAATTATTGGGGCACATATTGAAACTGCAAACATCAGGGAAAGAAGGTTTGTCAGTAATGAAACAGATTCCCAAGCCGTAATTCTTATTAACAACTACAAGAGTGATGTTGAACAAAAGTTAATACAGCTGTTAACGTACAGACCAAGGAGATCTGCTCATCTGGAACCTGATGTGATGGACCTGCAGAGATTTGTTCTCTGTCTATCACCTACAGAGCTGCCTCACTTAAAGAGTTAAACTTAAAACTCTGAAAAATTACCAATATGAATTTTAGCCATTTGTAATGCAAATGAATTGCCTTAAAACACCCAACAGTAAGTGAAGAATTTAATCAGCGCATAAGGCTTTTGTGGTGTCTGTGCAATTTATACTTAAACTGCTCACAATTAGGTGCTATTCTGGGATCTGCTTACCAAGGGAACGCGCTTGAGATGAATCCCAAGCCAAAGATGTGCTTGTTTTGAATCAGTTCTGATTTTATATCATCTGCAATGTAGCTGAGACAAAACCGGATACTTCCTTGGTGAAGATCCAAATTGAGAGACCCTATTCATTTCCAAATTCCAGTTTTTGCTGGTGTATCAACCAGTATAACTCACAGATGGGGATTACTACCCAATACTCTCACTGTCATGCGACAGGTGGAGTCACCAGCTCCAAGACTGTAATTTCACAAGTGTTTGTCGAGTACCTATGTCCAGTAGTAACTATAAAGACTGTTAAACTGCAAATAAATAAATACATTCTTTTATCTACTCTCTGCAAAAATGTTAGGAGGAAACCTAATGGCCAGAACACACAGAAGAAACCAAACACAAAATAGTACTTGAAAATTGTTTGAAATTATCAAGAAAGTAAAGAGTCAAAGAAATTTTAAAATATCTTAAAGGAACTTAATAAAGGCAGGTTATTCTTGAAGAGAATATCTCCGTTGTATTGCAATGGGACAATTCCGACAGCTGGCGGTAGATGGTGTCATGGTTTATGGTATCAGCCAGACTTTCAGAATGCTACCGCTTCAGCTGCTGTGTTTCACGTAAGTTTGCAAAGGCTCCTCCTCTTCTTCTGCAGCTTTCAAGGGGTGCTCCATGCCCCTCATTCTTCAAAGAATCCACTGTATATTTAAGTGCTTAATAAGGATGAAAGTACTGAGACTAGTATTCAAAAACCTAAGCACATCATTTTCAGGAAAACTTTCAGTTTTGCAAAATGTCAGTTATGACCACGGATTTTGCAGCTGATTTTTTTTTTTTTTTTTGAAAGAGAGATAAAAACTTCTGTAAGTTACATCCAAATTAAAATCTCCTAGTGCAGCACAAACAGAATTTGTATCTGCAGGAGAAAAAAATTCAAAGCCTATGATCCCCAACACAAACAAATCCCACCTCTACTAGTATGTCCACACTGAATTCATTTACTTCAAAACAAAACCCTTCTAAGAGCAGTTAATAAATTAGGGAGTACCCTAGAATTCTTTTTAAAAACCTTACCAATAGGACTAAATATACGGTAGTGAACAAGAAAGCACCCACCTATAGTATTTAAAATACGAACCAAAGAACATAAGAAAACCATTCCAGACTAAAAAGAAGCCAGATTAAGCAATTTGATCCAAGGATTGGATAAGAAAAGCATCCCAAAGAAAACTGCTTGAGGATCCTCAAGAGAAGGTCCAGTCTGGTGTCCCAAGTGAAATGCGTGTACTTATGCAAAAGTGTATCTGTGCAGAAGAGCACAGATATGCACAAAATACATCAATTCTGGTTGACTGAATATGATCAAATAAGTCTAATAACATAAAATAAACAATATGATGTCTTTTTGAGCAAACATTTGCTCACGCTTACAAGTGACAACTGAAGTTAATGCTGAGCACACTACAGTTATTAGCTGTTGCAAAGGGTATAATAAAGATAAAAATCTAAATTCAAGTATCTACTCATAATTACATGCTTCAAAGGCAATTGCTTATTTCAAGACACAACTGAGAAAAGAGGAAACCTCCTTTTGCTGAACCTGCAACATCACTTTGGAGTGGAACTACTTACTTATATGTGATGTTAAACCCTGTTAAATTATAGGCAGCATCACTGAAGAAATGCAGAAGGGCATATCCAGAAGTAGCTACAACTTCTGGTACTGTTTCATTGCTATCTTTCTCAGGAACAATAAGACCACTGGAAAAGAAAAGAAAAAATTAAATAATGTTAGATGTGAAATAAAAGGGAGCAAAGCAACACAAGTAAACGCATCAGTATTAAGAAAAGAATCGAAACAAGGTATTTATTTGCATCTATTGGAAGTATAATGAATTTATGTAAAGTAATCATCGTTTTCATACAGCAGTGTTATCAGATTGTTTTTCTTCAACAGAACTCTTTAAATATTCAAAAGGAAATGTCCCGACATTGTACGTATACTCAAGAAACCCTCAAAACAAACCCATTCTTAAAGGTATAAGAACCCTCAAGTCTTTCTCAAAGATAAAACCGCATTCTTCAGGACCAGGTTAGTAAACTCTCTAGCTTGGCTTAATTATCTGCAATACAGTGGCTGCGTTACTGACCAAGGAGTGCAGACAAATGAGGACATTGAGGCAATCAAGAGTAGCATTACTGATGCCCTCAACATGCATGGCTTTGGTCTACAAGAAGGAAATGAACGCGAACAGAAAACCCTGAAGTAATCAACTTGGCTCTTCTGAAAGATAAATGCATATTAAAAAGTGTTTAACCTAAATAAACCTGAAGAATTCCAGTTATTCTTAGCAAAAACCCACTTTCCCTCCCGTATTACTCTGCCATGATTTAAAGAGGACCCATTCCTACAACAAGCTCGCACGTTTGAAAACAGAAATTAGTGTGCCCCAAAAGCATAAGACCTGCTGTGCCAAGCCAAACTAAAGGTCTGCAGAGCCCAGTATTTCCTCCTGACTACAGGCTACAGCAAACGCTCAGGAAAAACTGTGACAAACAAAGCAAGCACAGAACATTTTGGTGATCGTAGAATCCCAGACTGGTTTGGGTGGGAAGGGACCTCCCAGCCCATCCAGTGCCACCCCCTGCCATGGGCAGGGACACCCTCCACTAGCCCAGGTTGCCCAAAGCCCCATCCAACCTGGCCTTGAACACTGGTGATGTGTTATCCAGCTTCCAGAAACCCACAGTTCAGGTGACCTGGAGAATGCACTCAAGTCAGCACGTTTAAATAAACCATTAAACCATGTTCTAGCTAATTCCTTCTCAACCATTTATAACCTTTTCAATTTGAAAATCTGCAACAGGGAGGACGACAATTTAACTCCACAATGGCAGAGAAAGGACTTCCTACGCTTGCTTACATCTGTTGCCTGATCATCCACCGATGCCTCTTGGGTTCCTCCTGTATGAGGAACGGGTACAATTGCCCTTACTCACCACCTTCCTACCACTCACTCTTTCATAAAGTTCCATCCGACTCATTACATCCACGTTTGTTGCCTTTTCTGTCCTAAAAGACTGTCACACTCACTATTCCCACCTCATTCATTGCTTCACACCTCTGGTCACCTCTGGCTGCTTCTCTACACCCTTCCAGGTTCTGCTAGATGTCTCTTCAAAAGAGTAACTACTACCTCTTTACCTACTGCACAAAATAGGTTTTATCTGAAAGGGAACGTTTATTCTTCTTCTAACAGAAGCCAACAACAACAAAACAAAGAAGTCCAGTCCTCCTTCACACAAAAGACATCAGAGCAAGCATAAATTTGACATCTATTGAGTTTATTTTTTTTAAAAAGCCCTTATCTAAGCAAAGCACATTGTCTCCCACCACCTATTCATAGCCAGCTGTTACTTTCTTGTAGAGAACCACTTTTCCCCCAGCCTCAGTCCTATTTTCAAAGGCTAAGTCGAAGCTTTTTGACAAGCAGAGACTCCAAATCCCAGAGTGGAGCGTGTCCGGCAGGGAACCGAAGGCAGCTCCGGGGCCGCAGGCAGGCAGCAGCTCTCCTGGGAAAGCAGCCGAGCCTGGTTTCATACCCTGAGACTTCTGAATATCCAAGGGCACCATCGACTAAAAAGCAACGATGAAAAGAATTTTTCCCCCTGAAGAGAACTTACTTTTCCTCTTTTCAGATCTATTCAGAACAGAAAGCAAATGCATTTGAAGACAGTTCCTTAGGACAGTGTAAATGAGTTTCTACACCCAAGGAAAAGAGTCACAGCTATCCACAGCAACCCATTCACATCGCCTGGAAAGCACTTTTTTGTGACCTGAATTTTTCTGTCTCTGCGATACAATACAATGATGTGCTCGAAGAATAACACAGACACCCAGTGATCCCTTCCAAAAGCTTTCGCTGTAGAAGCTGGGGGGGGATTTGCACCAAGAGTAACAGATGAAAGTGTTACCTACGGCAAGGTAAATCTGCAAATGGTACAACAGCCCTTCCTGCACAACTAGTCTTATCGTGGACAAAAATATATCCTTCATTTTAGCAACATGCCATAAAAAACACAGTAACCTGATCCCATGTTTTGGCTAAACAGCTCCAGCACATTTGCAGATATCTAGCTCAGTAAATAGTTCCTTGTGAGAAGGGCAATTATTTTCTCTTCTCTCAGATCTGAACGATCTGGGATTAAAAGGCAAAATTCGCTGCCTTTTCCTCTGTGTGTAAGAGGTGCTTGTTTCATTCTAAAATTTCAGATTTCTGAAGATGATCTCTCCCAAAAGACCGTCTCCCGAACCATCAAAGAACAAAAAAATCTAATAAACTTCTTGCTATTTGGTTCATAGTTTTCCTTTGTAATGCAAACTGTAGGACAGTACATCTCTGCCACAGGAAAAGACATCTGAATGTAATTCAGGGGAAGGCAAACTACAGCTCAGGGACAAAAGAAAATTCCTTTTTGTTCTGGTTTATTCTCCTTCCACCTTATTCTTGCAGCACTCATCACCGATATTACAGGGCAATCTAACTGGAAGGCCCTGGAGCGGGGAGAACTAGGCAGAAAAGAATAAAAGAACAGAGTGAGTAGTGGTAGTGAGAGAAGACAAAAATCCTCCCCCAATAACCTTTCCTAATAAAAGGACTAGCACAGGACAATTGTTTGTTTTCTCTTAGAAACCTCAGGTTTGGGATACGTTTGGGAATAACACAGGTACCTCTGTAGCAGATATTCTCACCGTGTCTCCTGCTTCCTCCCTTCTTTCCATCTTTTTCTGATGGGTGGTATGTAAATACACTGAAGAGGACGTTAACCCACCTACACAAGTTTAAAACAGCCTGATGAAACTTAATAGAGAGACGGTAATTTTGTTCAGAGAAAGCCAGGAAGGGAACACAACACAGTGATAACAATCAGGTCCTTGAAAGGTCAAACCTCGAAAACTGTGAATAAATATAGCGCGTGAGCAGCATCCTTTTGAATAAACCAGCACTGAATTTACATTCTCTGCCATGAAGAAAAAAATCCAATAGGCAGAATCAGAACGATACAGGATTATGCAAACGTTCCTTTAAACTAAATCCAGAATCTCTCAGAGACTCGACTCCGACCAAGATTAGCCTATTTCACAATGTACCGCTTCTATTTCTTTTTATAAGGTTTCAAAACATTCCGCAATCATCGCTACTCCAAAGCAAACAAATACTCCTATTCGGCTAAGCTGTCCGATGACGCTACTTCCTCGGCGTTGAAAGTCAAACCTCTGGTTTGCCTTTGAAACAACTTCTATTTTCCGTGCGCTGGATTTGTAGAGTGAAAGAGAGTGAAAAACACGATCCAGGAGACCCAGATACTCTATCGACCTGCACACAACCCTACACCACAGAAAAATGGGAATTATTTAAAACAAGAGGCATCTCCTCTATTACTTTTCCTTGAATTGCTATGCAAGCGTCAAGATGAGGGTGTATTCATCATTTTCTCCCGAGACACAACCTGCCAGCGTGGCAGAGATCAAAAGCGTAAGATGTTACTGGGCAGAAAATAGTCAAAGAAAGAAGACGGACACACATGTACACAAAGTGACACCATTTCTCCCTTTTTAAAAAAGGGTCCGTGCACATCGCCATACTCAAAACTACAAAAGTAACGATAAACAACAAAACAAACACAAACCAAAACCAGAAATTATGAGAGACTAAAAATAAATCAATGCCAAAAAATAAAAAAAAAAGGGGGGGGGAGAAAATAAGGAGACATCTTAAATTCATTTTCTTAAAGGAAAAGCTAGCGTGCAGCATGACTACCCCCAAACATGGACTTGTAAGGAAACAATGCAATTACAATGACACTCGTGAGAAAACAAGAGAAAAAGAAAAAGACTCATTATTGACAGCTGGCAACTTCCCAAAGTCAAATTTTTTTTGAAACCATCTTCCCTTGTTGCACTACAGACAGACCCAGCTGGCGCAGCAGAGCCCAGCGGATCAGGGGGGGCTTGCCCCAAAAAACTCCTCCGTTCTTACACGATGCTCTTCCTCCCGCAGCCGGGAGAACAAGGACAAACCATAAACACACGAAAACCCGTCTCATGAGCCATTCAGTAATTTTTACTGATTATGTCACAGGGCGAGTGTGACTGTAGAAGCTGTATTTCAAGAGAACATGGGCTGAGAAGCCTCCAAAGAAATAAAACATTTTTTGCCATTACAGTGAACAAGTACTTTAAAAGTTAAAAAATTATTTTAGTATCTACTCCTGGAGAGCCAGACCGTGCTATCGGCCACGGTGCAAATGCCTTTTCCTGTTTTAAAACCTAAAGGCTGTTGTTATCGTTCAACACCTGTGAAGCTTGGTACAGGATACTTGAATTAATGAAAAAAATTATATTCTTCAGTTCATCAGAAAGAGCTTAAGAGAAAAGAACCGAGAAAGTGAAGAACTGAAGAAACTTGTTGCTCTAAATTCCCTGTATAGGCCTTGATTTAACTCAGAAGGTTTCTCTTTTCAAAACCCTAAAATACCAACTCTCTCTGTCCATCTTGCCAAATTGATTTAGTGTTTTTGAAAGAGATTACAGGTTTAGGGAACAAAAGCAATTTTGATAAAATGCATTTACATTTCTCTAAGACATTTTACTGTCTACCACAAAGCTATTTTGATTAATCAGTTCTCATGGTTTCGAAGGATCGGCTGGTTCACCAACGGGCTCATGAGTAAATATAAACAAGGGAACATCACACAGCAGGTATATTTCTAGCAAAATCCCAAATACACGTGCTCCTCACCTTTTACTGGTTTTGTTGGGTTTTTTAAAAAATCAATAGTGTAAAAGTTATGGTAGATCCAAAGAAAACAAATGCAGCAAAATAATAAATATTTAGACAACAGGCTGCTGGAACAAAAAGTCAACTGAACTGCTCCGTGAACTGAGCGTGAGCATGATGACCGTCTTGCAACACAGTCCAGCTCAGGGTTGTAATAGAATATACCCCCATCCCCTACCTCAGGAAGCAGAATAAGAACTGATTTGGGAGGTGATGGTTGATGACGTGCTGAGTGCCAGCTCCATCAGAGGAGCGCGAGAACATCGATAGGGAAAAACCTGGTTACGCACATGAGCTAAGCACACCCAACGCACGCTTGGAAGGAAACAGAGCAATAAAACTTAAGCATTAAACAGTTCCTTCATCTTCTTTATGGAGAGCACATCTACTCGCAGTTTGTTCTCTGTCTATACGTGCCAGAGGCGAGGACCGCTTCTTCCAAGTCTGTAGAACATCAACTTTAAGTTGATTAGCTCCTCTGGATACTCTTGTTAACACAAATAGTTCTAACTCAGTGTGGTTTGTACCTTTCCCAGTATAATTAATCCTCGTTAGCAGCCCCCTGCTGTTATCAGCTGATCACTTGCTCTAAGCAATATAAGACCAGACGATGGGGAGAGGTAAGCAGGGTTTGCAGGTTAGTTCAGGGAGGGCACTGAGGACAAAGCAGAAGAAAGCCCGTGGCAGCAACGTGGGTTACGATTTCTGGCAAAGAATTGAGGGAATAGAAGGAGAAAAATAGAAGGGGGACAGCCACATGATGTACCAGGAGAGGCGGAAGGACCGAGCTTTGTTTAGCCTGGAGGAGAGATGGCTGAAGATGGGGTGAAATCTAATTGCTGCCTTCAGCTTCCTAAGGAGAGATTTCAGAGGAGATAGCACCAGACAAATTCACAGAAAAAGGACGTACAGCAACACACACAACCCGCAGCAAAGGAAGTTCTGATTAGACAGAAGATTTCTACTTTTTCTTTTTTCTTTTAACTATGAGGGTGGTCAAGCACTGGATTGCTGAGCCAGAGGATCAGCAAGATTTCCATCACAGCAAAGGAAGTTCTGATTAGACAGATTTCCACTTTTTCTTTTTTTTTTTTTCTTTTAACTATGAGAGTGGTCAAGCACTGGACTGCTGAGCCAGAGGATCAGCAAGATTTCCATCCTAAAGAGATATTCACAACTCGACCGGGCAAGGTCTCGAGCAAGGGCCTGATCGCCCTCTGAAGCTGGCCATGCTTTGAGCGAGGGATCAGACCAGGGTCTCTGCCAACCCAACTCAAGACGCTTTCTGTGTCATACAAGTGTGTCTGGGTATACAAGTGCCGTATTGCCCAGGAAGTAATGAAAGGAAGGTGAGCTGCTCCTGTTTTCTGGGGGTACGAGAGCTCAGCAAGTGATCGTGGGGCAGTCACCGCCATCTGTCAGTGCTGCCACCACGACCGTCCATCTGGCCCTGAGAGCAACCACGAGGAGCTTCCAAGAGGTCTCAACCCCCGGTGCCAAGTGCAGAGCCACGGCCAAAGGTCTTGCAAACGAACGATTGCTTTTGAAGAGGAAAACACCCCCACCGCTGACCAGCGCAAAGTGAAAATAAAGGTGCAAAAGCAGCTCCAGTAAATGTTTAACATGGAGTAAAGTTAAAAACATGACCAACAAAGTTCACGGATAATGAGTTAGTTCATCTGCTACAGATTCCTTCATTCGTGCAGACGAACATGCTGGACTTCTGTTTCCTCCACGGTCTTTTACTGCATTTTTGAAGCAGCATGCTTACACAGTCTCATGTTGCCTATGATCACAAATATAAACCAGCACAGATATTTTTAACCCTGCTTAATAGAAAAAAAGTTTAATGTATAAGACCGGCCAGCCCTGGGGGCACTCAGACTATGAGGAGTTTAGTAAACAGTTTATGCAGACACTTGCACTGTGTAAATGTTGACATTATGCAAATATTTATCACAGTTAAAAAATTTATAAAACCAATTTAAAGTTTTTCTATAGTCAAGTGCTGAGGATTTCCAAGATCATTTCATATTCAGGGTAAATACCATACTGTGAACAAACATAAGGGAGCATCAGAAGGGCAAGAAAACAACATGAGAGCAGTGAAGGAAGTGACGGCTCAGGCAACTGCTGTAAAAAACAAAACCTGAGCTTTAGAGAGGGAGGAATTTACAGTGTTTATCCACAAACACCAAAAGTTTACAGTGTCCAACTGCACAAAGCTCAATCTTGCAAATCCCCTGGCATGGTGCAAAAAATAGCGAAGAGTGAAATACAGTTATGGTTAATAATAAAATTTAACATAAGCCAAGAAAAGCGATATAAAATATGAACGCTGCTTTTGAAAAATTCTAGTGTGTTTATTTTTGTATCAGGGAAAGGTATTTTTCAACAGATGCTTTTTTGCACTTCATCAAAATCAGAAGCATCTGTTATTTCCTGAACTTGGTTTACTGAACAACACAGCTCACTACTAATGAAGATGAAATTCAAATGTCATCTAAAGCAGCAATTAAAAAAATAATTGATTTTTTTTTTTCCTACCTCAAAAATGTTATTGTATTAAGCTCACGCTTGCTCGTCCTCAGGCAGAGACTTCCTACTGATTTACAGAGGATTTTAAAGTCTGAACCATAATTGTTAATGTTGTGAACTACTTATAACCTCAATTTAAAGAGCCTATTAATTTTTGGAAAACACACAAGAAACTGCAGGCACAAATCCTGATCGTTTCACCTTTCTGACAGCGGATGAAAAATTAGCTTGATTAGAGCAAAATGACTATGAGTCAATATGACATTTCCTCCTCTTCCTGCATATTGATTCAGTGCATGATACCAGGGAGTGCTTCCAGGTTGCACGTCCAGGTTTTGGGAGGATTTTACAAGACAGAAGGTTTCTTCTTCTTCAGATGCAGTGAGAATAAGATAATAATTCATTTGTGTGTCCAGTTTTGACCTCAGGTTAGTCTGAAGCTTTATAGGAAGCATTCTTTCACCACAAAACAACTTTGCATTTTCAGCTGAAGACCAAAAAAACCAAACGTGCTGTTTTTAATTTTCTATCAACTTTTTGTTCCTCTGCTGATGTTCTCTCTTTGAGATTCCAAGGATATTTTAGAATAAACATGAAGTATTTTTAGAACTTCATTTCTCAAATGAAAGGTTAATTCTGGAAATAGTTAATCAGCCACTTGGAACAAGCAGAGTCCAAAGGGAACTATTAGTTTTTCCATTCACAACTTGGGATTTTTTTTCTATTTTCAGCTAAAAGAACAGAAAACATAAGGTGGTGCTTGTCACTGTAAGACTAAAGTACATAAATGCCAAGTTATATTTAGGTCTCTTCGTGAAATGTCGACTGTTAACCAGCTTCCACAAATTAGTCTCTCACCACAGAGACAGATGAGCCAAATACCAATCATCCATCAGAAGAACAGATATTTTTCCACACGTGTTTTTACAAGGTTGTCCGACCCATCACTGTTGTTTCTGAACTCGTTCCAAAGATTTTAAAAATTTAAAGTTTAAGGTACATAAAGATATACATAGTTCTATGAGACCTATATATCTGCAGTGTTGATTACTTGGCTTTTGCTTTCTGTCAGCACTGACATACTACGAGTTAAACCTAAGTCATGTTCAGACTCGATAAATGGGGCAGTTTTCTACTTCAGAAGGAGCCTGAATACTGAATCCTCTCACGGTCAAACAGATGACAATAATTTTTTTGTCTCTCAAATAATCAGGATTTGGAAATGAAAACATAATACTTACATGCTACAGAGTAGTAACACGATCTGTTAATTGTAAAAGCGAAAACAACTCCTTAATTGTTTATGTTGACGATGACTGCACAAAAGGACGCTTGCTATATGTGCTGTATTGGCAGTATTATATATTTAGATTACTGGAACGTATTTATACTCCTAGAAGCCACATTTGACTCTGTCTCCAAGTTAAAGAAATATTACTGCGTACAGTTAGATTCGTACCAAGGGGAACTTACCTAAAAGCTGCCAGTAAGGGAGCGTAAATTGAATCTCCGTCATACACATACAAGTGGTCCCAACTGCACTCTGTGGCAAAGTGATTGAATCGAAGCCTGAGGATTGTGTTTGGCCTGTAAAAAATAATAATAAATAAGGAGACTTGTAATTAGCCACTCGACACAGATGGCAAAGTCCCTCCAACAAACTCCTCTGGTGTGAAGCTCTCCTCTAAACAAGACTAAAACTGAGTGACTTAGTGTAACCGTAGATGCATCAAACACGCTGTGGCTTTCTTTTTCAGTGTGCACGCTCCCCTGGTATTAAGCAGCAGATTCTTTATGGTCAGAAAAATTGTGTCCTTAAATCTTTCCCCATCAGCAACGGCAGTAACCGAAGAGCAGGCAGTGCCAGTTCTCTGCTCTTTACCAGGACTGACTCACCTACTGACAGGGCTCTGCAGGGGCGAGGATGGAAAATCTACACGTGAATGTATTGTCCATGTAGATGTGACACTTAGGGACGTGGTTTAGTGGTGGATTTGGCAGTGTTAGATTTACAGCTGGACTCAATGATCTTAAAGGTCTTTTATAACCTAAGTGAATCTATGACTGTATGAAGAATCACAGCCACCATCAGGGAATTAACTAGAACGCTAGTTCAAGGGATTTTTTCCAGATTGATATGATTACGATGGCCTAAGATTACTTATTTGCCCACAAGCTGGCAGAAATCCTTCTGCTATAAGTTTATTACTTGTGCAGTACTGTAGGATGGCTCTCCTGAGGGCAGCCTCCCCAAATTGGAAATTGGACGTATTCCTCAGTGGATACTAACTAAATTCCCCATCTTGCTCTCTACTTTTTGGGAGTTGGAAAAAACAGGTCAAGAGAATGTAGAGGAGAGCAGTCTTCTACAGGATGGGAGGCCCTGGTGCTTTTACTTTTTTCCAAAAGGAAGATCTTTGATTAATACTTGGACTGTCAGGATGCAATAATCACTCACTGCCCCTCATTCTTTACAAACGCTAACCAGGTTGCTTGGTTCTTCTGGAGATGTGTTACAAAAAACCACTGGGACCACTTGAGAATGAACCAGTGGGAAGTCCTGAGATGAGATTTGCTGCCTTCCACCTGAACGCAGCAGGACCAGGACATCCCCATGTTAACACCACCCGTCAAGAAGTGTCTACTCAGTTGACTTACTAAGTCAAGAGAAGACCAAAGACGCCTGATTTTCTGAGATGTATCAGCAGGACTCGACATGGGGATAGAAAAATCCCCAGCTCAGGCACCAACATTGGCAAGCATTTCTTTCACTCCATACACAAAAGATGCCCACCGAGCCATAACCAAGTAATGCACTTCACACACCTTTAGCTTCATGGCTGATGTGCAAAGATACATCTAAAGAGAATGACACAGAAGCCACAGAAGATATCTAATTTAGGGCTTAGCTCAAGGATGGTGAAAACAGCACTAACATTGTCCTCAGACCCTGAGATTAAAAGAAAGTGAATCTATAGCAGTACTGCTTTTTCCTACCCACAGCCGTAGCTGTTGAAAGGATAGATGCAAGTGATTAGGATCTCTTCAACAGCATTGCCCTTGGGTTCAGATGAAATCCTTGTTCATCCTAATCAAATAAATTAATAAAATGTCAGCTTGCCATAGAGTCCTTCCTTCCCACAGAAGGGGAATTCTTCAGGGAGTTATTCTGCAAAAGAATAATTTTTCACAGGCACACGGATCTACTCCAGGCCTTTGGAAAAAGAGCAGCAGGTGTAAGTCAAGGAAAATGTCTTGCTCTAAAGAAAAGGTACAAAGAGTATTCATCACTTCAAAACTGAGCAGCCTATGAAATTGTAGGGGGTTTGCTTTCTATTTTAATGGTCTGGCAGCTGTAGAGCAGAAAAAAATACTTAATCAATAAAGGCTTTAGACCAAGAGCAAAAAGAAAGTTATTATCTTTGCTACAGTTAACAACTCATTAACAGCCAGCACTCATTTGCAGAATCGAGAGGCACATGGCAACAGGTTCTGCCTCAGACAGGATCCTCAGGCTGGCTGGATCTCATCTGCCTTGTCTCATGCTCTGGGGAAAAATGAAAAGGACACCCCTGGGATGAGGACACAGCACAGACATCAGCCAAGAAGAGACGGGAACGGTGTGAAAAGGAAATGAGTACGGTAAGGAACACACGGCTTATTTTACATCTGAATTTATCTAGCGTCTTCAATTGCACATTTGTGCCTTTACTTGCTCACCTCAAAAGCCTTCCACATAGCACTATGCTGGCACCGAGGTGAGGGCACCCAGCAGAATTTAACAGCTTTGCAGAAGCTGTTTTCAAAGTCCAGATCTCTCTGAGAATTTCAAGTTTGGCAGAGAGCTTGGGCTATTTCCACAAGGGTGCATATTTCAGCTGTTCTAATCAGCATCATTATCTCCTTTCTGTTTACCACCATCCTCTGAGAGCAGGGTACAAACAATCAGAAGCAGGAAAAGGACATCGACTTAAATGCCTGGCTACGAAAGAAAGAGGAACATTTTTGTACACCTCTCTACAGCAAGTAAGATCTTACTTCAAACCCCGCGGTGACAGTTCTCTTGGGAGCCTCTCAGTACTAGCAAACAAAGGCTGAAGGAGCAGTTATGGTGACATTATCGGGGACCCATGAGTGGCACTTCACTTCTGATAAAAACATGAGTCACATTATCTTTTACAAAAAAAAAGCTATAAACATTAAGCTCAATGTACCAGATTGCTGAGGCTCATTTGTCTGTAATAACATCCTTGCAAAACATTTTTTAATTATTTGTAATTCCAACCTGGCTTCGGTTGTATTTTTATAACTTTTATAAGTTGCTACTTAGAGCATCTAACTTTAGATTTAACCACATTAAAGAACCAGGATCCTTATAAAGTTAACAGCAAGTGGTAGGCTCCCAATATCAGTGTTCTACACGGCGCTCTGCAACAGCTTAGTCCTCACCTTTGAGCACCTTGGGCACTTAGGTATTTAAGGTACTCATCCAAAATAAATGTCTGAAGTAGATGAAGTGAATACCAATTCCCCTCCAACTCATCAGACCTCCCAAACAGAGAGAGAAGACTAAAGAAAAAAATTTACCCTGGCCTTTTAGTAATTTCTGATCCTCCAAGATGCCAAGAGACCTCAGCTTACCAGCGTTCAATGCAAGTGAAATCATTCATGCTCTCCCGTGACTTGTTCCTATTCACAAATCTCTCTACTTACAGATTCAGGGAACAGTATGGAACGTGCCTTAACGCATAGCTACTAACACACAGCATCGTAACCGGCCATGCAAAGTTTTAGAGACTATACAAATTGATTTTACAGCCCTGGCATCAGCCCGAGACTATGAAAAACATATTTCAACAAGTCAGAGGCTCTGA